GGGTGTGAGTGTGAGTGTGTGTGTGTGTGTGTGTGTGTGTGTGTCAGTAACACACACTCATGTACTGTGCTGGTTTTCTCTCTGTCGGTGGAACAGTTGCTGGGATTTGACACAGGTATCATCTGTAAATCAGTCTCGAGTTCTTTCATCTGTCCTTCCTCAGCACTCCTCCTCCTCCACAGTCTTATACCTTTATACATGTCATGTATGCTCCTATTTCACCACATAAACAGTCTGTGTGTCTTCTGTGAGTTTCTCTGTGTTCATGTGCTTCATTGGCATGACGTGAATCTGTACATTTGTATTGAAAATTCAGTAGCAGAGGAGTCTTCCATCACACCCAGCTCATTTAAAATCACAGTAAACGGATAAATGACATTATTTGCATGTAAATCAGTCCCTGACCAGTGAAAGCTGCTCCATCTCATTTGACTGCTTCCTGTTTGTTTTAAACTTGATCGACACAAAGCAAAAACCAAATGATTCATTTGTGCTGTTTGAGCCGGTGGGCCTACAGGAGGCGGAGTCTTCTTCAATCAGCCCCGCCCTCCTCATTAGCACACCGTATGCACCGCGATGACATCACTTCCTGTGTGTGCGCAGTGGCCGTGACTCTGGAGCCGCTGGAGGGAGCAGAGACGTATGTGAACGGGAAGCAGATCACCGAGTGTGTGCTGCTCAGACAGGGTGAGTGTGTCTCGTTCGTCAAAAAAACACTTGCTTTCTCTTTCCTTAATCTCTCTCTGTCTAGCTTGTACTCATCTGAGCAATGCCTGACACTTTGTATTATGTTTATTTGCCTCTTTATGATCAATCACTTATTGTACACTGCAAAAAAATGATTTTCTTCCTTAGTATTTTGTCTTGTTTTCTAGTATAAATATCTAAAAATTCTGGGATTAAGATGCATTTACTTGACAAGTAAAATGACTAAAGATATTTTGTCTTGTTTTCAGAAAATATTATCCAAATTTTATTAGTTTTTGCTTAAAACAAGCAAAAACATCTGCCAATGGGGTAATAAAAATAATCTTGTTTAGCCTTTGAATTAAGATTATTTTTCTTACACCATTGGCAGACGTTTTTGCTTTGTGCATTGTACAAACTTGAAAATACATATTATATGTTCAGAAATAATACCAGGAAGATGCTTTAAAAAAAATCTCAAAAGTCAAGGTAATTCAAATTCAAAACGACTGAAGGTATAACCGCAGTAGAGTATTATTAACTATAAATGTTCTGTAAAAACAATGAACAGCAGCTTTCAGTCTGTCACCGTGATGCAAACATGAAATATCAGACATACAGTAGAAGTTACAGGTTTTTTATTTGATTGCGCTGCTTTTCCATTGTTTTTTAATGTAAACATGGATGCGTTTGACTGTTGCGCTCGCGTCTCATGCATGAAACGACAGACTTAAAAACACGCCGCTCAAACTAAAAGAAGTTTAACTCTCATCTTCTTGCATGTGTTTCCTCTTCCACTGCCTGCGCCGCGTCTTTATCAGCACAAAAGCGCATTCTATGTGAATGGCGCCTAGCGATACGAGCTAAAAAATAAAATCGTGGCAAAATATTAAATTCAAATTCATTTGAAAAATGGCCCAGCCCTATGTAAATGTGTTCGAATGATCACGTGACCCTGAGCTGGACCTCTCGTGACGCAGGAAACCGCATCGTGATGGGCAAGAGCCACGTGTTCAGGTTCAATCACCCGGAGCAGGCGCGTCTGGAGCGCGAGCGCAGCAGCTGTGTGGAGCAGCAGGGAGAGCCGGCCGACTGGAACTACGCTCAGAGAGAGCTGCTGGAGAAACAGGGCATCGACATCAAGCTGGAGATGGAGAGGAGGTGAGACACACACACGCACACACTCACACTCACACACACACACACACACACACACACACACACACACACACACTCGCTCTAGAACCGGTCTCTTGCGATACTTTGATGCAATACACCGATCAGTCTGCGCAGCGCTGCTTCAAGTCAAACAAACCTATTGGGTTTGTGGTGTTGTTGTTGTGCGCGCTAGGGAAGGTATATCCGCCATACGTCATCGTGTCGCTATATCATTGATATCACGATATGACACTTTTTTTATCATGTAAAAATGTATACCGGTATTATCGTGGACGGTATGATATGGCACACCCCTACATATTAAAGCCTGTTTTGCCACTTAGTTCTATTTGTATTACTAAAAAATATCAGATTACTCACTTGTCAAAATAATCAGATTACTTGATTAGCAAAATAATCATTAGTTAAGCACTAGATTAGTTAAAACATTTCAAAATACAACTGCATTGTTTTACTTTTTGTGATTAAAAGACAAATATTTTGTCATTTGAACATTTCTTAAAGTATTAAAACATTGTCTCGTTCTAGTGAACCAAGCATCTGTATTTTGTCTCATCTCATGAGCTAAGTAAGCGAAGTTAGCAGCGCAAAAGGTCGTGGGTTCGATTCCCAGGGAACACACATACTGGTAAAAAATGTATAACCTGAATGCACTGTAAGTAGCTTTGGATAAAAGCGTCTGCTAAATGCATAAATATTATTAAATATAAAATGTTAAGTGTATTGTCACACCCCTAGTGTCTAAGAGCGTGATAAAGCTCATAATTTTCCAAGTGTATGATAGAGCTTTCATTCTTCAGGTCAATCATATATTCATGAAATAAAATCAGTTTGAATAAGGAAAGCGACAACTTTGCCATAGTATCCTTTCAAATGTTAAAGTTGCCAGTCGTTGCATTCTTTGCATGTGCTGCACTTTATTTGCACCATTTTGTTTTATTAGTTTATTTATTAGAATTTGAAAGATAATAACAATATTGATTAATAAGTGAGATCTTTTTTGTTCAGTGATCGTTTTTGTTCAGTGTCCATTTTAAAAACTATCGGTTGATTAATCAACCTAGTCCAACCTAGCTATCGTTATCAGTAAAATCCACTATTAGTCGACCTCTACTGAGGTGGTCTATTCACCATCCGCGTGTCTCTCTCAGGTTACAGGACGTGGAGATTCAGTATCGGAGAGAGAAAGAGGAAGCAGATCTACTGCTGGAGCAACAGAGACTGGTGAGAGACAGACACACACACACACACACACACACTCACTCACTCACACACACACACTCGCACACACCACA